GGGGGGGGGGGGCAGTGATGAACAGGGCTTAAAGTTTTGAGTCCTTAGTCCAAATATGTCAAAAATGTTGGGAACACACGGATTAAGCGATAAACAGATACCTCAGTGATTTTAAACCCAATTTGTATTTCTATACTTCTTTTCCAAACCATCGATTCAACCTTCATGCTAATTCGCGTAAACGACCTGAAAATGCATCTAACACCTGTAGCTGAAATAATGTTGATAAGGGAACGCGGATTAAGAAATACCCCACTGAGAACAAGGTCTTTTTACTTTCGTCATGATTATCTTTCAACAATAAAACATCTTACGCATTGTCAACTCTCGCTTGATGCTAATTCGTACCAACGATCGGAAAAACCATTCTGTTCTATGACCCAAAAATCAATTTCATCTCTAGATGAACAAATCTTTGTGGGCACGCCCAGATTAAAGAACACCCTGCTGGGATCAAAGCTTTAAGAATTTAAGAAGAAAATTGGTTATTGTGTGTGTGTCCTTCCTTACCTTCCAGTTCGTTAAGGAACTTCACAACCCGATTCATTTGAATTAACAGAATCATAGATAGCTGAAATGATGTCGGATTTTCTGACAAGATTTTAATTGTCAAAGGGAAGATGTTAATTGCACTTTTTCGACGGATTTCCCTCTGTTGTGGCGCATTGTTCTGAGCAACTGCACCTGATCAGACGAAGGGTAGCGAAAACCGCATGCATGGCGCAATTTTCCCTTCAAAACCCGTTTTGAGATTCCGTAGCGCGTACTGATGATATAGGACGTGATTTTCCTTCAATTCAGCTGAGATGAACGACCAATATGCATGTCAACTCACAGATTGGTTCTGTATTTCATGTAGAAACGTTACTGTTGAAAATGCTCTAGTCATTTGTCAAGCATCGATGTTTCTACCAGTACGAACTAGCTCAAGCTGGAGGCCCCATCCCACTAGGATAAAATTGTCCAGATCGAGCCGGCTTCGAACTGGATCGAGCCGCGGACCGAAGTCGGATCAAAGCGACTCAATTCGGATCGATCCGGACAATTTTACCCTAGTAGGAATGGGGCCGACTCCGCCTGAGCTAGCCGACTTCATTGTTACCCAGCCGACACACACGGGAGAAGGAATATCGATCCACGGCAGTAAAGCACAGGTGGTACGTTTTGGAACCCCAATCACGGGGAGTGAGGTTTCTGATAGATGGGACCGTGAGGGGCGGGTGAGGTGAAGACGTTTCCCTACCGAGCTATCGGAAACAGCAGTCAAATGGCGCCTGAATGCCTGAATTGGCTATTTGAGAAATTTGAGAGAGAACTTGAGAAATTTGAGAGAGATATTGCATATTTGAAAAATTAATTTGAGATACGCACGGAAATGTGTCATGGAATGTACATGGGTTTCTCCGCAACGCGTGTTATGAATGAAAATGGATCCACGTTATTAATTTCATGCATGCGCAGTGGAGGAATATGTTCCATCCTGGATATGTACATAGTAGGCTTGTAAAACTGATGAAAGCTCCTGATGAAACAATGGACTTTGTTTATTTATTTATCAAGATTTACCACATTTTTAAAGCTAAGGGTTGACATGTACATAACTGGTGAGTATCACGTTTTCAAAACGTCAACTAACCTGAGAGCAGACTGTAAGGTTTGAACCACTCTCACCGGGGTGGACCCCTGCTCTTTTTTATAAGTGGGCGTGGTCTTAAACATACTGAAGGTGTGGCTCTCCTCAAACATGGGCCTTTCGGCGCTACGTCCTATCCAAGAGGACGTCCCTAACCGAAGCAATTGCACTGCAATGCACTCATGCATTTTCATCTGAGTTAATCATTAGGAAAAAGGGCACAACACTGGGACCTGCCAGCGATTCGTACCCAGGATCTTCAGATTCTGAGTCAACAACCGTAACAACAAGACGATCGTGTCAACTTAAGTTCAAGGATACCCTGCCAGTGAGGCCCCAAACGTACCCCAAAACGCCCAAATCTACAGTCCACAACCGTACACACCCTCGAACGTTTAAATGATGATAAATGGAAACCGGTCCCCGGCAGGCTATCAACAAAGCATATCATCATGGATATTCATCATTGGGTATTACCTGTTCAACACGATACAGTCGTTGCGCTACTTGTTTTCATACAATCTTAGGATTCGTATATTTCATGAAAGCTATTACTCTTTGCAGAAACTAGATTTGAAGAGGCCGCTAGGGTAGTTGGTAAGAGATGATGCCTAAACACTACCTAGCTTAGATTTGTCTGCCTTTTCGTCGAACCAACCGTCGCTGGAGTGTTTTGTTTATGAACGCATTGAAGCAGTCGCCGTCACAAGATAACCCCGAGAAAAATGGCCTTTATACGAGTCAATATGTACACATCACGCCCCCCTCTGCAAATACCCCCAAAATGACCTTGGGGACGGGGTCTTAAGGTGAGTGACCACCATGCAATTTGAAGCGGTTATAACGCCTGTGGCCAAGCCTATTCGCATGCAGGTGCTGCAGTGTTGGATATGTCGGACCCAGGCCGACATCTAGGTTAAATAGTAGACGGTTTCTCCTAGATCCTGCCAGTTAGAACTAGATAAATCCGGTAACAAATGTTGGACGACAGGAGTTCGTTCGTTCTTCGAGGAAAAAGCCGTGCGGGTTAACTTTCTTATTGCATCTTAAAATTTCGCAAAATACAAATGCGTCTCAAATCGTTAAATTTCTATTGGCCAAAGGTGAAAAGGCATCTACTTTTAAATATCCTTAAAGGGGACATAAAGTCATCATAACGATGGTACAAGTAGGGATACCAAAAATAAGCTAATAGTAATATCGTAAAATGTTTGTTTGAATCAACATATAATAAACAAAATATCTCAACTTTGAAAACATAACGGACTTGACTGCCGTCACAAGATTACGGATCAACTGCCACAAACTACAGAGTAGTTTTAAAACTGGAAAATTGACGTCAGGGTATTCAGATAGAGTAGTGGGCGTATCCGGGACCAACATTTGCTATGTGTTGGGAACAACCTTGGCTGAGACCCACGTAAATATCTTACAATAATGTCTACGACGTACGGGTCCTCAGCGTCAGAACAAAGTTCAATACGTTGTACAATGTATCAAAATACAGACAAAACAAATACACAGTAGGACTGTTTTCAAATAGACGTGAGATTTTGGACGTAAGATCCGATCGTAGAATAAGCCAAAAGTCCACTCAGACGTACTACTTTTTTCGACGCGCTTCTTCTTTCGCAAAATTTCTTCTACACGTTGTTATGGTACAATAACCCCCTATGCACCCCTCTCCTCGCGATCATTTATGATTCACCCCTATCTATAGCTGGTAGTCTTAAAGAACACATCGATCTCCGCGGTTTTCACTGCTTTGTTTTACAATCATGACTCGATAATAGCGTACCTGACACCTTCTGTTCCCGCATGTACAAATGTAGTCTCACCTATTGTAACGTAGCTGGTAGACAATTTGTTCACTTAATTTACGCGCCCCCGCCGTACATCGGGTTTTCATCAAGCTAAGTTTGGAAAACACACATGATCTCCTGAAGTTTTCTGTGCCAACAGTCAAGAGGATATCAAAGATATGCCAGGTTGGCGCAAGTAAGCACAATTTGCAGTTTCAATTTTTGAGAGGCGTCTGTCATAATAGGGATAGCTTTTTCCACCAATAATTTATTACATTAGAAAAATGTCAAAAGTGACCACAATATTGATGATTATACAAACAACAATGTTACATAACTGTATACGTACCTGCCTGCATGAAGGACACAAATATTGGATTGGTAAACAATGAGCGGTATACTTTGTTCTAGAAATGCTATATATATGTTTTGATGATTACAACGATTGATGGCGAAGGAATTATTCCAAACATGTTACTCATTTCGCTGTCTCGGCTACCACAGGACACACGTTAACAGGTATGGCTATGAATATGTACAACTCACCCCAAACAGATGGCCAATGACAACAGAGAGACCGATGGAGAGGGAGGCCGAGCCGTTCAGATCGGTGCGGTGAGAGTCCACGGTGGCGAAGATGGTGAGGACGAGCTGGAAGGTGAGGATGAGCTCCACGCCGACCCCCATCCCTCCCGTCACCCCGGTGCTGAGGCCGGTAACGCCGAGCCCGCCGCGCACAGCCTCCGGTGTCACGGCGTACACCAGCCCGGCTCCCGCGATGGCACCCACCAGTTGAGCGATGATGTAGAGCACGGCCCGCAGGATGGTGACTTTCCCCGTCAGGAGTAACGCGATGGTGACCGCTGGGTTGACGTGCCCGCCGGAGATGTGGCCGAAGCATTGTACCATCGTAGCGATCGCAATCCCGAACGCCAGGGCGATCTGGACCATGCTCGGAGAGGTGGGTCCGCCCGGCCAGCCCGTTGTTGATCCGATCCCGATAAAAACAAAGATCAGCATCGCGAAAAACTCGCCGATGATTGCCCTGTAAAAGTTGGGGCTTGACAGCTCTTTTCTATCAAATAAACGACCCATTGTTACTGTTTCTCCTCTCCTGTGCGCTCCTGAAAACACTACTAAGACTTGAGGAATCCTCCCCACCAACTGGTTCAATACCTCCACAGCATTCAATTATAGACCAGGTGGCCACGCCCCTTTCTGGGGAATTGCCCAACCAGAGAGGACCGCGGGAAAACGCTCACGGGGAAACATTTCTGCACATGCCGATGCATAGCTCCACACCTGTTAGTACCTGTTTAGGAATTTTCTAGTTTTTCTGTTAACAATAAAGTATAATGTGCGTATTTTCTCTACTAATGCCTTCCGAGTGATGTGTAGAGTCTGTGGACTCATACATGTGGTTGCACAGTGATAAAATAGTCATGGTGGGTTAGACTACTAGCAGATTCAAATGTCTGTGTCGAGTTGTTTCACCGACGATTTGTCTATATCATTCGTACCAGTCATTTACGAATAGACTCAGGATTAGACCTGTCCCGACTTTGTTCGCGTTTGATAGAGAGTCAGACCACTCCCCATTGTAACATTATACCTTTTCTGTGCCCTCATCAAGTGCAGGGCGTTATAACCTTCTAAGTGCAAAGCGTTCTTATCTTATCTACATGTAATTAGCCAATCAGCGATAAGGGTCTCATTTCGACCTGGTTGTAGCCTTTGATCCGAGTCTAGTTCACTATGCACTAAGAAGTGGCCAGGTAGCACGTCTGCAGAACGTACTGCCTTAAGTCTAAATCCCTCCTGCTATAAATTCAGCTGTATAAATTACAACATGATGTAACCCAACAATAGTTACCATGGTAACAGACACATCATTAGTTCAGGTCACCGTTTGGAGAAGAAGAAGAGGAAGAAGAAACTGATCAAAACCAAATTGTTTTCCTTTGGTAAACATAGCAAGACCATAAAGGTCACAAAATAATAAATAACTGCACTTAAATCTATCTATAGATGTTAATACTGTTGTAAAATGTACAAGTATGGGTACACATGTAAGAAATTATCTGTTTGATGCAATTTTATTATTCCATTAAAAGCATATTACATTTTCATCTCTGTAAACATTACAACCTCAATTTCATCCATGCTACATTACATATACAGAATTCTATTATATTCTCCTAGCACGTTTGATACGTCAAATGTCTCCGTATGTACATGTAATCGTTTTCCAACACTTCAAAGTGCAGTGCTAAATGTTTCAAATTCGTTTCCAATATTGCAGTAGCTATTTGTGATGTTTGTGCACACTACAAATTCATGGCATTCTATATACCAAGCATCAATTTCTGGACTTCAATGAAAAATATGAACTAGCTTCCATTATAATCAGATCCAATTGTTTGAACTAGAGAACTAAAAGATAATTTTCAAGAAACATAACTGACTTTCTTTGGGGCATTCTGTATTAATGAGAATTTTTTGTGTTTTAAACGTTTTTGGGAGTCAAAATTTTTGATAAATTGTGATTGCTATGGTTTTATCATCTTTTTGTAAAGAAATGCAGCAACTTTGGCAGGAATTTAAAACTACTTTCTTGAAAAAGACCCTGATGCAGGAACAACAGATAAATAAAATACTTGTCTGGATAGCCTGCTATGATGGACAAAAACTTAATTGTGATAGATCTAATTAATCACCCACTACTTTGCAAAGTGTCTACGCACAGAGTTTTTGTGTAGTCTATATGCTGACATTGCCTTACAGATACAAGCTGTCAAGTTCATCTATAAAGCTACATTCATATGTGCTTTCCAGTAAGACAATGCCCCTGGCTTACACTTGTTCATCAAACCAAAAATGCATATATCTTGGTTAATATTCATTTCACAGAGACATGAAAATTAAAGGAAACCTGCAGTAAAAAAAACTGCAGCATCTTATGATTATGATAAACTCTCATAGCTTTATCAGACTCTGACAAAATTATTATGTGCAATTGAAAAATGGAAGTTTACAGAATGTTTTCTTAGAGTTGTGATGATTAACAAATGACATATTTGGCTATTCTTGTATTTACAACTAGTTATAACATATTTAGATATTTTGCTATTATGGTATAATGCTTACTAGTATCAGATGCCATCGTTGGAAGTAAGATACATTTTCTCACATGTGTTGTTAAAGTTAAGAAATTTTTTTTTTCCTAGCACATACTAGTACATGCACAGTTTGGCAATCATAGCAGCAAACAATATATTCTTATAACACCATGAAATTCTTTTGAAGGCTTCCTGGAGAAAAAAAACAACAACTTATTTCTGTTTACCTATTCCTGAAGTACATACAATATCCTTATGTTTACATGGCAAAAGACCATACAACTTCATGTGGGAGATTTAGTCTTGTATTTAGTTCTATTTTAACAAAAATGCTTAAGCAAAAGACATGTAGTAAAATGGAAAATCCTGCCAACAATTGTCAGTTGGTACTAGGTAAGATATAAATTAGTCACAATATCAAAACTGTATATATTCTACCCTTTTGATATAAAGAAAATGAAACTTACTAGGTATGGACTATCATTTTTGAAACGCCAGACTGAATATGAAACATGATACCGAGGAAACCAGGATGACAAAGTCCAAAACAAAGCCCTTATTCCAACATTCATCCCTCCTACCAGCAGAAAGGTTTCACTAATGGATGACTGGCATTAAAAACATCCTTTTCACATTTGCCAAAGACTTAAAGCAAAAGTACACAGAATATGTATCCATGTAACTGTGACGTGGTAAGTGGCCTTTTCCTCTGATCTACATGATCCTAAATGCTACGGTTACTTTTTCTTGAGCCTTTTAAAGTAGAGAATAATCTCTGATCCGCCCATGGAAAGGTCTTGTCTGCAATACTATAAGGCAAGCGTGCGTAAACATGTGCACCTTCAGACAAAAATAACGGAAGTCTGTGGCAATTGCTGTTGGCCCTAGTAAGACAAGGTTTGACGGTGTATGGAAAAAAGCTAACAGTCAAGATATCGGACTTTACCTGACTTTTACCTGAAAGGGTTCATAATCTGATCAGTAGCCCCATTACTACTATGGGTGGGTTGTGCATACGTCACTATGGAACCCAAATTGATGACAATTTCCTTCTTCCCTAAAACTGTAAATACATCTATCTTCTGATAACCTCCAATTCTGAGCACCACTCTCTACTTTAGAAAGTAGAAAACAATATGCCTGGTACATGTGATCGTAAAATCATTATTGTACAGAAAAATGTGTATCTTTTCACATACTCCCAAAACTTGAGCGCTCTGATCAACATATGTTTGGTTCTTTATCATGTGCAATAGTTTCCATAATGATTATAGGAATTAGGAAAAAAGGCTGTATTCTTTATATCATTTTCTTACTACGTATACCAGTGCTCAACTGATCCTGCTTACATCATCAGCAAAGTAGAAATTAAAAAAGTGTAAGATTTAGCCAGATAGTGACTTTTTGATGTACATCGTACATGTATTGTGTTACTTACTATGTAGTACAACTTGAAAATACTCTGCCCATCTTTCATGCCATGTAGATATAAGAGCACCATACAAAATACCTATATGAAGACTTTGCTTCTGACTGTTGGATGAAGTTAGTTATATAGTAGCACTTGTGTACATGTACTGTAACACTGACTGTGGAAAAAATAATCAACCACAATTATTACTAACCACCATGAGAGAAGGTGCATTTTGTTTCTGTAATGCTAGCTGTTCTAAGTTAACGTCGAGCTGTGAACCCTTGCCCGCCCCCCTGCCTGCGAAGATGTTGATGTTACTGAGGTTGTAGACCCCTGGACGGCAGAAACAGGCCTCCATGGTCAGCTGTCTGGTCTCCCCGGCTGCCAGGCTGAACCCCAGTGCTGCACCACTGATCCAGGTGAAGGTGTTCAGGTACGAGATGGCTGGCTGGTGGACGGGCGACTTCAGCATCAGTGCACTGCCGGGGAACAAGAACAGTTAAATTTACACAAAAATTATGTTACAGTACAACTATTGTTGACTGGTGCAATGGAGAAGTGGGTAGAGTGTTTGTCTGGCATTTGGTAGGTCGTGAGTTCGATCCTCGGCTGAGTCATACAAAAGACTTTAAAAATGCCACATACTGCTTTCTCTGCTTAGCACTCAGCATTCGAGATAAAGTATGGGAGTTAAATGCACACATGCACTACAAGTGGATTAGCCCCCTGCTGTAGTGATCCCACAACTGTGTGGCCCAAGAGCTATAGAAGCGGAGATGGGTGCCGCCATGCTCAACCAAAATGGTTGCGGTGAGGACTTTAACAAATAATAATGATTGTGTTTCTATGTCAGAGTTTCAGCTGATTTGTCAAACATCGAGGTAATGCCATGACAGCTGTGACACTGTTAGTTACATAACACAGAACAGGTCAATGAATCCTCCGTTAGTGCACATAGTTTCTCACTTAAATCAACAACAACTTTTCCACTGGACTTATGTCACATAAAAAGCACCTTCAGCTCCCACACCTGGTGGAATACCAGTGTCTAACCTGTAGATGACAATAATATCTATAGATGTCAGGTTGCCAAAAAATGTCTCATCAACCAAAGATTGAACTTGAACTGTGCCCACTTCTTGCTAACATAATTCTGAATAATTTGAGTAATATTTTGAGTACTAATTGGAACAGAAATGCATTTTTTGCAGCCAGGACTACCGGTAAGTATGTGAAGTTGAGAGTAATCCAACTGCAGAGTTTTTAGTATGCAGGTCCACATCTGTACGTCAGGCATAACCCCAATTGTGCCGGCATGTCTCTCCCTAGACTCCCGTCATGATGGCTGGCGGGCAACCAAGGAGTGGCTGCCAAAAATTTCCCACAACCCAGAAAAGTGGGCCAAGATGTCTGTCTGAAAAACAGGTCCTTCCCTGCATTCCTCAACCCTTATCTCAAGATATATGCATGTCCCTTAAGAGAATGTTAGATACTTGTGTCACTTCATCTTCAACTGATATCTAAGAGCCTGTCTGTTGTGTCTCTTTAAAATGTACCACGGCCCCATCAGTATATTCTGCTTCAAACCAGCTTTAACCACCTCAAAAGGCGGTTGGGGCCCTACCATTTATCGATTGTCAGGATCACAATACCGGCTCTCAATGGACCGTAGTCCAACGTGATTGCCTATGGAAATAGGGAATGGCACCTCATTATCTGAATAAATATGGGCCGGGCAAATTGCCAAATTATGAAGCAATCAAAATTCAGGAGAGCAGGATCAGACTATCATTTGGTATTGACAACATATTCAGGTGTGATAATTGAGAAGTCTTTAATATGGGCTGTGGTGATGGAAAATCTATATTTAATGTTCCTGATCGATGGGAACTTAAACCTCTGTATTGTTATGTACGGGGAAGTGCTTTTTATATTTTGTTACTGCAATACAATGTCATCTAAAGCAAAATCCAAGTGTGTTTCCTTTTAGTTGAACTACAAAGAGAACATAAAATAACCAGGTCTGAAATTCCCTTTATAATTACTGACTAGCTGAAGGCTTCTGTGAATGACTTGTACAGGTAATTTGAGATGCTACAGATGCCCAATAGAATTGAAAATAGGAAAAAACTATCGAGGTTATTTGGATGCATAAGGCATAACTACTATATGGTAAATATTTTCACAGCCCAGCAGTACAAATTGTATTTAGCAAACACAATAGGATTAATAACTAAATAGTTATATTATTGATTTTGCTCAATAAAGATTGTCATTTTTCCCGTCGTTCTTTTGGCTAAGCTCTAACTAGTTTTCCAACCTGGCCTTGGTTACTTGGTAACAAATATACAAACATCGATCAGGCTTGAAAACTATGTATGTGTGGGAATACAACAGTTGTCAGGCCACCCAGCTAGCAATTAAAGGCTGTATATTTCTTAAGTGTCTTAGGTGATGTAGTGAGTAAGAAAACATCAGCTTTAATTGGCAGAAGAAAACAGGTGAAAATGTGTGAACATTAACCTCTGTACTTTACTAAGATGCTCCATATTACCTTGCAATACGTAGTTGTTTTTAATGCAAAATGTATTATGCCTTCAGGCAATCATACATGTAGCTGCATCTTGTCTTAGCAATGAGGTCAGGAGTCTCCTTTCAAGCTTCCCTAAGATGAGCAGTCAATAGGCAATCCTTCTTCCAATAAAGTAATTACTTGTGCCTGGTGGCATGTATAAAACCATTGAGCTACGTAACCACAAGAATTCTCGATGAAACCAATACCAGTGCACTCAATTTGTTCTGCAGCAGGCTACGCATAGAACGAGGCAGGTTAAACAGATTTGGTGTATGTACATGTTGATTGCATCATACATCAGATATTGGTATACAAGACTCGATAGTTATATGCGAAAATAAGATGGAAACATTGGTCAACTAATCAACTTACATGTACACATGTATGTCTGTTCTAGCATAAAATAAGGATCAATCATATCTACATCCAAAATAATGCCATTACAGGTACGCTCAGTGGATACCAATATTGTGGAAGTGTGCATCCAATACACATAATGGCTGTGCAGTCAATGATGCAATGTGTAGGTTGGGGGAACATTATTGGTTCTGCTCTGATTCACTCTGATACGGGGTAAATCTAAAAGAGATCGTGATTAAAGAGACAGAAAAAAAACAGGGACAAGCTGGTTCAAACAAGGGACTGGAGTCAGCAAGGACCAAGGCCTTTGTAAAAAAAAACAAGAAAAAACTAGTTTAAACCAGCTAAACTAGTATAAACCAGCCTGCAGTCAACAGACCACAACCTTCATGAGAAAAAAAAGAACAAACAAGGACAACGGAGCCCACAGCCTTCATCAAAAGGCTAAACCCAAGTTCAAACAAGGGCCTGCAGTCAACCAAGACCACAACCTTCACAATAAACAAGGACAAACTGATTCAAACCTGAGCCTGCAGTCAACTGAGACAACAGCCTTCATTAGAATTAAAACAAGGACAAACTGGTTCAAACCAGAACATGCTGTCAGTCACTATAGACTGTGAACCATTAGCACAACTTTCATAAACTTTGCTTGTTACTAGCCACACCAAGATGATGAATCAGTAACAAACAGGGAACAAACTACATGTTGTTCAAACTAGTTGGAATAATGGGAACAGCAGGTGTTCCCTCTTTTCTGGATCTGCTCTGCTCTGTTAGTTGTTCCTCCTGGGGTACCAATTAGCTATAGGAATGTTTTGTCAAATTGTCCTAACAGCTTCCTAGGAAAGGATCCCTTTCTAACCCCCCTGAAGAAAATCAGGAATAATTGTAAATGTCATATAGTATACCATCTTCAGCAATGAGGTTACATCGCATGGCGAATTTAGTGACCACTTCATGCTGTGGACCAGTCATTGATCCAATCACAGATGCAGCAAATTGTTCTTCGATTCCGGCTTAATCAGTCCTATAGCTTTGTACAAAAAAAATGCCCAATGGGACCACTTGTGAAGTAATGAGATCAAGGTGTGCTCTCTCTGCTCACAGTCGGCTTATTCTGTCTGTTAAGAAGGTCAGAGGACAAGACTATTAGGTTTACTGTGGCATGAAAACATGACTGCAGGGGACATGAGTGATATGTCATCTTGATGAACATGTACAAATCACAATGTGCCTCTACATGTATAGGAATTAGATGTTAGACATCACCTTGCTTTACCTTCGAAACCAGGGTGGTACAGTTAGGCTATGTTAATTTGATATGGATGACATCCTCTGGGAACCCCAAAACTGATGCGAACGTGTGAATATAAAAAAAATTGGTAAAAAAAAGGTGCCTTTACTTTGATATCTAGGTGGTCATGAAGGTTGAACAAATTTTTTATTGGCATGGTGAATAATAGACTCTTCATTTTCATTCCTTCACATTTTCTTCTTGTCCTTTGGAATGGATTTTGGCATTCTGCGACATTAGTATCATTTTCTAATATTTTTTTCAATGTACGACATATACAAATGTATTTGCTCATTTTGCAGCTACTTTGTACAATTTACAGTATGGTCGAAAACATTTTTTTTTAAATGCACGAAAATTCATGCAGGGGGGCTGATGTCATCAATATAATCAAATCAACATGGCCTTAGTGCAGTACATGGATGGAAAGTGTGTGACTTACCCGTTCTGTGAGGTGGGGTCTGTCTCCACCTGTATGTACAGCTCACACCCACTGCAGTTGTGCACCACCAGGCTCACCCCAGCCACACACAGTCTGGAGAAACACAACATTTAGTCAGAGTATGTCTTAAATCTACTTCACATCATACATGTAGATTAGACAAATGGCAATGTGGTATACACATATCATATCCAAGACATACAACTATCCTACCAAAACTGGTCTATTGGACACATTTTCTAAAACAGAGCAGAAAAGTAAGATAAGTAGAGAGTGTCTAAAACCAGAATTTGTTTTTCCTGGTAAAATGTCAACTTCTGTTTCTTCTTGTGAATTTTCAATACAAATGTTCTAAAGCAAATACCAAGACTGTCTAGTAGAAGGTTATTCAAACTCCCTCAACAAACTACATACATGTACATGTACATACACCTGCTGAGGATTAATATTTACCAGGCTGTGAAGTCTAATTTATAAGTTATCAAAAACAACAGAGACAAGATCCCTGAGAATTCCAGCCAGTACTACCACAGACCCCTGCTGCATTTTAATCAAATTCTGGATACTAACCAAAACATAAACTACCTCTTTGGGCAGGTATGTGATCTGACTCTTATGTATACCACATGTAAGACATAATGTGCAAATGTCTTCCTTAATGTCAGCAAACATACTTCAAAGGAAAGTCACAATCAAGGCCCGAGCACATACACCATGTGGCAACTGATCCACGAATTAACCTTCCTCCCTGAAGGCTACTTCTCCCTGCACGTATGCCACCTACGTTTGTGAAAAGTTGGAGGAATGTTGCTAATAATCCAGGAGAGGCCAAGGAGCCGACAAGCCTTGTGAGCAACCCCAGCTCTGTAGTACCTCCTACACCCACTGATTAACACTCAGCTGTGTGAGTCATTGCTGGGATACTGATTGATGAAGACGATGTGTGCTGCATGGCGTCTTCATGGCTACAAAATCTACGTATGTATGGATCAGACATAGGAGTTTTTTAACCTCCTAGATCAGATCTAGAGTGAGGAAATGATATCATTGTGGTTCACCTTTTTCCTTATATACAGGCAAGACAATACAATTTTTCAAATCTTCAAAGTTCTTCAGAAAGCACAGCAATGGTAAACAAGGAAATCAGCTAGGAGGCCCAGAATCAACGTTGACCTTTTTTTCTCAAGACCTACCCACATACCAAATATCATTACAGGTCAATTCATCAATAGCTGCCTCAATTATGCTGAAAGAAGGTCGGAACCACAAACACACAGACACACACATGGAGGTACATTTTGTTATGACAAGAGAAAAGTTAACTGGCTGATGTTTCACCTTATGTTTAAAAAGACTAGCAGGAAATGAAATCATGTTAAACATGAGGTGCTAACATGCGAGCACAGCTGCTGTTACAGCCCAAACAAATGGTCCGGGTAGAAAGAATGTGTTTACCTTATCACTTAATCACTTATCACAATGTTCAATCAGCACTGACCGCAATACCTGACATATATCCGCAGTATTACATTATGTATACACATGTATATAATAACACAACCTCTGACATGGAACCATCCATCTCCCACTGAAGTAGCCGTTTGGCAGCCAGTTTGTGTAGGTTTAATACAGGGCTAGGCAGCCACTGCAGGTGAAATACTGTGACATTTTGCTCCTAAAGTCACGCAATACTTCTTGGCATGACTTCAATTTTCCGGGGAGGAATGAATTACAGTAACTCTGATGACACCAGGCTTAGAAAGTGAGTGACTGAAATGTAGGGACCCTCACTGTGCATGGCATCAATAGCATCAGTCAATGGTGAAATAGTAGAAACAATTGGAATATATCCTAATGCAGAGACTCATGTACTGCTGTGCTGCCCATGGTCAGGCTACTCAGGCATTAACATACCAACATGAAACTATATTAACCCCTGCCACTCAACCCTTGGGCTGTTGTCAGAAAACCCACACACCTGCAGCCTGTAAACAACTGCAGGTGTGTTCACCAGATCTTGTTTTTTTCCAAGAATTGAAATAATTAACCTTCTCCCTGCTACATTTGTACATGTAGGCTACAGCTGCTAGGCACCAAATGGGGTTATGCAGCATGGAGAAGGTTAAATTATTATAGGTATAATTCTTTAGTAGATAAATCAACAGTTCATCCTAGTTTGGAATCTTTGGGCAGTATTGACATCAAGCATGTACTTTAATGACCTCATAAAAACCTGTTATCCAAGGCATTTTATCATAGCTAGAAATCTGGGGCCTGTCCTTTTTATCTGAGCATAGAAAAAAACTATAATCCAGCCCTTAAACATGACACTGAAAATTCACAGTCAGGGCTTTTCAAGATTCCCTCAGAGGTCAATAACCTTCCCATCAGAGGTTATTAACCTGGTATTACTAGATGTGGGAGAATCAAATGGTGAAAAAAATTGCCTAATCGCCCAGGTAGCCGGAATTCTCTAATCCTGTTAGTGCAATTCAACAAGTCCAGATGAACTAGTGTGGAAACATTATACAGACCACGACACATCATTGGCTTGGATACATGCATCACTTGTGACAGACACAATGAGCGACTTGAATACATTAATGAGTATTCAGCCATATAAGCTTAACCATACATCCAGCAGACCGTAATGTGCATAATGTGTCGGGCCCATAACAATGGCTAGGTGCAGAATTGTGTGGTATAATTTCTTGGGGGGCATTAAGGCCCTGAAAACAGTCTGGGACTCAGGCTACCCTGGATGACTCGATTCCATTTTACCCGTTTGAAAAGTGTTTTCTATTTTAAGACATTAATTTCCTATTAACATGTGAATAAGAAAGACAACTCATTACACAAAGTGCGTGTGTAGCTCTTGTTTCCATAAGGATTTTGTTTCTGCTGACACTTCAATGTAATCAAAAGTTTTATCAAAAACACCATATGGTGGCTTCCACTGCAAAACACAGTGGGATATATCCTGCCGGAAACTTAAACTTTAAGGAATTTTCCTAATACTACTATTGGAACAGGTCCAATGGAAAAGGGGGTAAGATCTCCCTTGGGGTATTACAGAATAGTGTAAGGTTGATAAGTTACTATGATTACACACTACGTCCTGATCAAGCCTAGCTGCTAATTCTTGACAGGATCTCATTCAGGACACATCATGTACATGTATTGTAAAATCTGAGATTCATAATTTGTTCATAAGATGTAAGTTAGAATAACACACAAGAGTGTATAGTCATTCCTTCTGACAGAATGACACTCATTATTATTTACGACATGGTGAGAGTTTTCACCTTGGCCAGCTGCTGTATTGAAAGGAAGTTGCTGCCACACCAGTTTTCCAAAGCACAACACTGAGCTCAGGAACACGTGTACATGTTCTTACCAGTGTCAGCCCCAAGGGGAGGGGCATGTATATGTACATGTGCAGGCATGTCTCTTTTCCCTACCATATTAATGTTGGTTAAATCTGAAGTTAGAGTGCTGGCTGTGCTTTGTCAAGTCTCTTTTATTATCAAGTCTTGTTTTTTCTATTCTGTGCAAAGTTACAAAACACTTATCATACTGGTAATTAGAGCAGAATTTATCTTCCTGCCACAGATAAAAACCATAAGAGAAATCTTTCACATGATAAGGAGACACCTAAAACTGCAGGCACTATTACATTATATCAATTGTCACTACAAACCTGTCAGTAGTGAAAGGGTGTTTGCTCTCCTTGGGATGGTTCACTGTGTACTTGACCAGTTGAGACAAGTTCTCATCACCAGCACCCTGGTCCACAGTGGTCTCCTCCTGCTTGGTGAAGGTGATGGGAGGCTGCTCTACTACAGGCTATCATGGAACAAGGTACAATGACATCAACCAGGAGATACACTTTGTAACAGCTATGGAAATAGATAGATGTAGGTATGGAATCAATAGTAGAAGACATTCATACTCAGTCCGGTGAAATATAAAATCATGCCTGCTGTTAATTTTTGTCCAAGAAACAGTTAACGACCAAGTTAACTATTCACCGAGGAGCAAAACTCAAAATACCTGCCCACTCTTCACTGTATTAAATGACATTGTTATTTTGGGGATCAATTCAAAAGTCAGGTGACCTATAACTGACCTCTGGTTCAGCCAATGAGGAGGCTGGCTTGTCCAAGCGGTCCAGTGTCAGGTGATGCTGGCCTGTGATCACATGACTGCCTGTGTCGTCCACCACAAATGCCTAGATAAGGAAGAATGGCGTGACAGATTATCACACTCACTCACTATCTGGTTTATCATCTGTTGTTCCCCGTCTACCAAGGGTTAGATGTTATGGACCAAAGCCAAGATTATATACATGCAATTTTGTTTAAGTGTTTGTCAGGATCTTCTAGCACAAGTCAAATACCACATATATGCTGAAGTTTCAAATGGGGATAGAAACTAGGGATGTTTCAACTAGGGATGTTTTCTTAATGAAAAGAGGAGAAATGGCTACAAAATGAAAATGAAGATTATTGTATACAATGTAGTTATTTGGAATCATTATCATAATAAGCTATATTTGTAAGTCATCAGCAAAATGCCATCTCCATGCTGGTGGTAAAACACCTAGTATATGCATTTCTGTCAGTCTAACCTTCCATATAACCATGAGACTAAGTTGCACTTTGGTTGCAGCTTGCAGCTCTGCCTTGGACTGATCCTCTGCAACCTTGGCCTCGTCAGGGGGCTGCTCCAGGGCGGGGCTGGGGTCGGAGGGGGAGGGTCTGGGAGGGGGGGTGTACAGGGAGCGGAAGTAGAAGTCTGAACAGGGGGTGACTGAACTGTCAATCTGGAAGAGAACAACAGATAACTTAGTCCTGCACTTAGACAAGTTAATATTTCTTTTAGCAACAGAGAAATTTTGGGAAAATACCAGTATTTTTGCAAGCAATTAATTGAACTGCAAAATCATGCCAAGGTACATATAAGTGAAATATTCTTTTGTGTGTTTTAGTGTCTAAATCATTCTGTATTTGCTATACAAATAGTCTAGCTTATTTTCTAAACACCACAGAATGACTCAACCTACTAAGTATGACTATCAAAAATATGGTTATACTAACTACATTGTAGCTTTGCAGTTGAGTTGTAGTAGAGAATATCTAGAAGTAATCCTATATTATAGAGTAATTAGTGTTTTTCAATGATTATATCATTACTCTGAGAAACACATCAGGATTTTACCTGTTCCTTGTTGTAAACAATGTTGGTGAACACAACCTCATCTTCTGTACAGAAAGAAGAAAACAGGTTGAAACAGTCAACAACAATAACCTACATGTAGACTCAAGATTGTTAATTCACTTCTACTGTTCATAATACACAAAAAAGGCCACCTTGTTGAGCAACCTACATGTATCATCCTTATCAAGAAATATCCTTTTTTCACAGACTGAAAACTAACCATTAGAAGAGACTCTTACCTGCACAGGGTGTCTTTAGTTTCTGTGCCTTGAAGCACATCAGAATAGACTCCTTTCCATTGATTCTCATGTCTAGAAAAGGACGAAAGATTAAAAGAAATAATACTGTCATCAAGGAATATAGTACAAACTCACTCACTCACTCACTCACTCATACTCACTCACTCATACTCACTCAGTCACTCATACTTACTCAGTCACTCACTCACACACGCACGCACGCTATTACTCTATTGCTGGGTTAACTGAAAATGCTCATGTATATTTTGTATATTTCGTATATTTTGTATATAATAAGCTGACACAATAAGCTGGTATAATAATTATAATAAGCTGGTACAATAATTAGCAAGTACAAGTGCTGAAGAAGATGAGCCACAACACAACAGATGCAAGGAACACTGGACATGAGAATATGAAACACAACACTTCATGCATTCCATGAAGAAGGATTTTCCTATATATAGCTACATTCTGAAGGAGGCTGGAAAGATAGAGACATTCAATGATGATCCAGAGAAGACAGGATGTTTGAATGGTTCCACATTACCTTTACCATAACGAGCTAGAACCAGAGGCAGGCAATCGTGGGAGAGGACCAAAGAGAAGGTTTAGAAGTAGGACAGACAATGGAACCAACAGCTTATTGTGTTAAACAGCAACTTTACAAAAAGTGTAGTATGCACGTATAATAGAATCAGTGAGGTTGCACTGTACCAGATTTACTTTGTATATCAGTTTATATATAAGGAGAGATAGGGTCTTGTATGTGTACTGACAGATTAATAACAGATTGTTATGATGATGTATGACAGGTAGACAGCTGCATATACTGAACATGGTTTCACAAAATGGGAATAGACAAGAAGGATAGAGGAGCAAGGAAGAGGTGACAATGTGGGTGTCTATTTACATTTGATAAAATTTTCCTTGTCATTCTCCATTAAAATTTTCCTCCGTCATCAAATTTCACTCACTATTTTGTTTTACTTTTTCACTGTTTAAAAATCTTTTTTCAGCAATAGCAAGAATAGATTTGGACTGTCAGGAATGGCAGAACCTTCCTCCCACACCTAAATCCTTCCCATTTAGATCCTTAGTTACAGTATATAAAAGTCCCCAAAAGAATGGCACTAACCTATATTGCACTGTGTACTGATGGGGGTGAGGGTCCACACAGGGCTGGCTGCTGACACTTGCAGTATGGTGAACTCTGTGATGTTGGAGTCATGGATCTGTAAATGTGGAAAATTAAGATTAAAGAAAGAAAATCAAAACCCCTGATTGACTGTAAAATATTTTGCCTTGTGCCCTAACGTCGGGGAATGGGAATATACAAAAAAAATTCATGTACATAAATAATGTGGCCACCAGCACAGAATATTACAACATATATGTGGTCACACAAGAAAGTGTGCAGCAAATGTGGTTAGTGTTTTTAACACCATGCGCTCAAGTGAGTGGGTGTGTATACAATGGGGGTGTGTTGGCAACATAAACTACAGTCAAAGCAAGTGAAATAGTCGTAATTCAGTAATACACTTCAAGTATATTAAGTTTCAAATTGGGATTGATCAGCCTTGACCCGCAGAATCACCTTTTTTATTTTTCTTCAGCTCTTTTCTTTATTTGATTTGCATTCTTCCCTAAATACAAATCAAGACTTCCATTTGCTGAAATCTTTGATTGAGTGCATTGACTACTCGTGCCCAGATTATGCTACACAGAAATCAGAGATTGCGATCTCTCCACCTTGATCCCACTCTGTTTACTACCTGGTGACTGACAACTCACCAACGTCAGTGGAGCAGACTGGATGGATGAAAGAGGGTGCCAGTCGTTTATCTGAGAATTCAAGATGTACGTGTTCAACAAGTTGAAAAGAACTCATCTGCCTTTATCAATTTTTCTTTCATCTTTTGTTCTTGATCTGTTTTTCTTCGAAGATCCATTGGCATTGTGATTTGCCAGTAAAAAAAATAGGGTTTCCTATCAAGAGCACAATGTAGGTGTGTGCAAATTACGGCAAATTGCTAATTACAGTTGTAGCTATACTAGAGTGAAATTTGTGGAAAATTAATTTTTATGATCATGATATCCCTCTTTTAAAATTCATGTTAAATGTTTGTTACCAGTACTTTCTATTTGCCCCTTTCTATATTCCATCTGACTGACAGATATAACTCTACTTATACCTTTGAGAATTTGTTGATGATAAAAATGTCAGCCAATTAGTAAATTGTAGCAATGGTTTCAGTTCACAGTCGCAGATAGAGAAGACAGGCGATGCTTGGTTTTGGAGCTCTCCTTAAATGATGATTTGTTATAGTTATCTGTTATGTGACATGGTAAGGTCAGCCACAGATGAAAGACATAGGCAGGAATGCTTTAAGCTTCATGCCAGGTCAGGACAGGGCATGGCTGAGATTGGTTCCAGCTGGTCCAGGGATCTGTTTCTTCCATTCAAAGTCCTCAGAAGAAACTTAATCAGAGATGAAAGGCTCTGCTAAGGTAGGAAATCATTGCATTATGGAGTTATACCAGTCACTTGGGAAGGTATTTACCAAAGTGATGTTCTCTGGATCATATCAAAGTTATATTATACATGTATTATGATATCTAAAGGTCAGTCTTTACAGATACAGAACACAGTCATGAACCTTTCAGTTGCATTACTTGACGTGTTCAGAGCGGTGTGTTTTCAGACTAGGATTCTTAAGTAGTATAAGAGTACATGGCAATGGGAGAGATGATTTCCTAAAGTGTCAGAATTCCTTCTTCCATTGGGAAGTCACTGGGTCAGTCTACTGAGGAAGACCAGAGTGACTGTTCAAAAGCTCTAGGTGAGAGAACTTTTTGTGTTGGACCAAAAATTTTAACTTTAAACAAGAAAAATTCCTATGTCCTATATATGTACATGTAGTTGTGTGTGAATGTCAGCATTACCCCATGTTGTACCTGGTTGAGGTTCTCCATGCCCAGGTTGATGACCAGACAGTTGGTGTCGTCCTGGTGACTGGACACCCGGGCCAGTCTGCTGCGCTGGGCCACCGCCCGGATACACAGGGAGTTACTGGTCTGTACCACGGCCGTGTGGTGTAACACTCGGTGACTGGTCAGAGGCAAGGCAAGAAAAAATCATAAAAAATTAGCAGGGGCAAAATGCACCTGTAGTATAGTAGTTACTGCAATGGATTGTTAAGTGTCATCTTTAAACTTAGTAAACTGCATGTTACAGGTAAACATGTATGAAGAAGTATCTGTATCTGTATCTGTACAGCCGGTATAACCGCCCTTTGGCATAACACACCAGCTTTGCAGGCACGCGGCGCAGCGACAGCTGGCTACATTACACCAAACGACTTGTTACACCTAACCCTTGAACATCTAACTCTAAACATTGTTTAAAGCTATCTAATGACAATGCTCCTGCTGTACTTGGTGACAGCGAGTTCCACTCTGCGATAGTTCAAGGAAAGAATGAATTTTTGAACATCTCAATCCTTGGTTGATAACTCTGGTACTTGAAGGCATGACTATTGTACTAGAGTACTGTTGTCTCCATAACTTACCTCATCTTGGGACTCTTCTCCAGACTTTCATAGTAGAAGAGGAAGTCTATCTCATGAACCCCACTAGTGTTCACTCCACGTACCCACATGGGCAGGCAGGCAGTTGCCCCTGGTGCTAACGTCCCATCCGGCAAGGGAACATCTATAACATTGGTAACATTGCACATCTTGGCAGACAGGGCCTTTCCACACTCCTCCCCATCCAGTGGCAGAGTCTTATAAATGTACTTGGAAGTTCTTTGCTCTTCCGGCTGCGTAATTCCGAAGGAAAAGAATTCTGGGTTGCTGGAGGCTACTCTGAGTCTGTGCAGCGTACACTTGCCCGTGTTGGTGAATTCCACCAGGGTCTGCTGGACTTCTCCACAGAGGAGGGCTGTTGGGAAGTTGAGGAACGACACCTGGAAAAAATCACAATTGAAATTCATTGTCAGTGTTTTCAAGTAAAACGGTATACAATCAAGCACAAAATATTGATATATGGCATAGAAAATGCATATCAGTAGTCATCATTTCAGAGTTTGATTGTCACCAGCATTAGACAAAGTTATAGAGTCTGACATGCGTGAATAGTTTCATCAGGTTGGTAAGTTACTGAATAAAGAGACTCTTTTCACACAACCAAGTGTTTTATTCACAGCCAACATTTTGGTGACCTGCAATGTGAACAGTGCAATGTGAACGAGTCAGAATTTCCCCGAAATGTTGGCTGTGAACAAAACACTTGGTACTGTAAAAAGAGTCTAGATCTCTTTACTCAGAGTCTGACATAATTTGCTGAATGAATATAAGGATGAGGAGCAACATGTACCTCTAACAGAGGCATGGGAGGAGCCACAATAGGGTCCAGTCGTCTGTCGGACCCATAGATAGTGCTACATCTCTCCTGCTTGGTGGAGTTGAGCCTTGGCCCCTGGATCTCCAGCTCTTGTTTCCCTCTCACATACACACTGCTGATGTAACTGGGCTTCTTAGGGGGCGGTTTGGGGCTGCCGGAGGTGGGGGGGACCAGCTGGTTTGAGGAGGAGGTTAGGGGGGTGGTTCCGGGGGGTGTTACCGTGGGTGAGGGGGATAACATGGGTTGCTGGGTGACCACGGTGGGGGGCTGGGTGTGAGGGCTGGGGGGTGGGGTTTGTAGACCTGCTATGCCTGAGGTGGAGACTTGCTGCTGTTGGGATGAGCCTCCTCCCAGACTGTAGGCCACCCCTAGGATACGCAGCTCACCGGTCTGCTGTGGAACCAGGATCAACCTTGCCTAAAGGGGGAAACACATATAAGTATGTAACTGTCCTGTCTTCACATAAGGCAATATCAGCCCAGTTGGAACAGATTTCTTCAGATCAGGGCTCTAGCCAGAATCTGTTTTTCTGTCAATTGCAGAAACTTTGTGGCATGTGACAGAAATTTTTTTTCAAACTAATCCCTCAACCTGATGGACAAAATTGACAGAGAAATCTTGAAAAAAAATATAAAAGCATCCATAGGACCAACAACAGCCACTCTCGACCCTGTGATTTGCCTCTCACAAAGGTGAGAAATTGCTTAAATTTCTAACATTTACCCTGTAGATTGTGAGCACTCTGACCCTAGGTTCAAACATGAACATGGGCTGATGGAAAAAAAATCTATCTTGCTAGAGCCCTGGTTCAGATACAAATGTAAGTATTTAAAGCAAGTGAAGGTTGTACAAATCTTACTGGCTTTGTCTCCTGTGCAGCAAGGACAAACTCCTTGATGACCTGGGTGTGCAGGACTTCTCCGGCGAGAGACATCTTCCCCGGCTCCACGTTCTCGTTGGTGATCATGTCGTGCTGCTTGTCCTCCCCTCCAGGTCCACTGTACTTGATGGGGACAAACCTCCAGATCAGCAGCAGGTCAGACAGCACCAGGGGGATCCTCAGGGGGTTACTGAACACCACTTCTACTGTCAGGGTTTCTGGGAAGAAACAAAAAGAGTGTGAAACATCCTTCTCTGTGTGAGATGAAAGTGACATGAAAATTCTACTTCACCATAAATAATTTTGCAGGTGAATTTGACTGTGTGTCATCCAGCTATATTTGATGCCATTTGTTGTATGAAAAAGAGCTTGAGTGTGTGGAATTCTACTGCCCATCAATCTCAACTACTAGTACTGGTTAAGTTGATGTAGTTTTACATGTACATAAGTTGTTTAAACACTAAAACTCTACAGAAGTGCTGCACTCAGTCTACATTTATTACATACAGATGGACGAACATAAAAGACAAGTAGTATCAAACTTTAAATTTTGTTTAATATATGTCTCACCTCCAACCACACAGACTGGACGGTGAGAGTTATTACTGCACTTCCCCAGACACTGGACAGTTGGGCGGTAGCTGGCCGGCAGGGACCCGTCGTTGGCCACCCGTACGGCCAGATCCTCCAGGTCTATCCACTTCTGCAGCGTGGGTCTGTCCAGGGGCTGCTCCAGACTGACTGAGGTCGCTCTGGTTCTACTACCTACAGTAGATTACAAGCACATGTACATGTACATAACTCTATTCAGTTTCACCCGAAACTGGGGTTAGATGTGCATCAAGTCTTTTTTGAAGCTTTTTTTTACGGCTGGATGCCCTCCCTAACGCCAACCCAAACCCTAGTAGGGCCCAGGTTCCCTCTAACTGAGGGGGGAATACAAGTTAAGTGCCTTTCCCAAGGACACAACGACTGGGTGCATGTCCGGACATGTCTGGGTCCAACACTGTGGATTGAACCTGGGTCCCCTTGCTTGACAGTCGGATGCTTTACCACTACACCATACAGATTCCACTACATAAGGCCACGACAATTTGATTTGTTGGTTCTCAGATCTTTTTCCAAAAAAATATGAAGCGACAGGATGAAAAAAATAAAAACAGGCCTAGGCATATTATGACAGCCCTAAATAAATGCTATGATAGGAGCCATGAAGTCCCTGTACTTTTGCCAAGTCAATAAAGAATCTATGATGACAGTAAGTCTGTCCCACCTGTTGTAGTAGGGAACTGGCTCTCTTGGCACAGTAAGACCCTGGTGTCTGCACTCCTGATGTAGGGTAGGGGCAGCTGGGGGAGGGTACCTGGCACCATGGTACCTTCATTCACTGATGTCGTCAACCAATGCTACAGGCAGAAGGAAACATGGGCCTTATAACAGGAACATAATCACTTGGTAATGCTTTTCTTTTAAAATTAAAGTGTGATGGACAAATTTATTTTCTTCTTTGCCTTGAAGCCAGCAGAAGTTCCATTTAGAGCACAAGTCAAATGCTTGAAACTGTTCTGCAAAGCCAACTTGAAAAAGCATATCTGCAATCACACTGTAACATTTGCTAAACAAAATTTCAATGATAGTAGAATTTGTTAGTAGACATTCAACATTAAGTTGTGGAAATGTGCCTAACTGCACATTTAGGCAGATGTCTCAATCCATACAATGTACATGGCCAGTTAGGCAATTTTTACAACATTCAACTGCATAACCGCAGAAAGTGGGGAAGCCTTTAAATCAATAATGATGGGGCGTTATGAAAAGCTGGCAAAATGTTTGGATGATTTTTCTGATCTGAATTTTTGTTTATCTTGCAGTATTTTTTATTAGATTTCAAGGTGCATATAAACAGTAATTGCAACTTTCATTCTTGAATGATTTGTCAGGTGCTGTTTTATTTATGTGCACTGTTCTATCCTCCTACTTGGCTACTTCAACTTGAACTTTCATCAAAAGATCTCCTCACTTCTTCATCATCTGTCCCATCCTCTGCCATTCCACCATTTGAGGTCCTGGTGATGGCCTAGAAATATGTCACCAATCAGAGTTTAACATCCATTACAGACTTCTCTTCTCTTCTTTATCTATAGTTCTACACCAATACTACTGTGTAGGTGAAGGGTGCAGAGGACATTCTTATTTGAGGAAGTCAAGCAATTTTATATTTTTCATACAGATTTATAGGCTTGCTGACTGCAATTTTAAATTCTACCAAACTACTTTTTTTCTCCAACTGTCACAGTTCATATCAGCCTGTAGTTCGTTTTGCAGGTCAAAATGTTATATCCTTTTCGGCAGTGCTTTATTTTAGGAAAGGACATTTCATAAGTACCTTACATGTACAGTTACATTGTATTTCAGCAAGTTGAAATTACAGATATGCACAACAAAAATGCCATATCTTAATTTAGTTTAAACCATTCCTACCTATTCTGAACACAGCCAATATTAATATTTTGTCATCAGTTTAAATTGCATTGACCAAAAGACAAACATCAACATTATAAGTACAATGATTATTAAAACCTTTCAATATATGACTACTTACAAGTTTCTGCAAGTTACAGTTGCACATTGTATAACATCTTAATATAAATGCAGAAGATGTTTATTTTCAGTCCCTACCTTAAAGACAAATAGATACTCTCTGAGAAAGGCAGTCTGCTGGGTGGGTGTCTGTTTGCTCTCGTTGATGAGCAGATGTCTGAAGGCAGACACAGCGTTCTCCAGCTGCTTCAGGTTGAAGGACTGACGACCGATGGTGAAGTTGATGTGGTCCTTCAAAACCCACAAAATAGGAAATTATTACAACTTCTTTCCCAAAATCTGTGAATAGTTTCATCAGGTTGGTAAGTCACTGAATACAGAGACTCTTTTTACAACCAGGAGGTTTATTCTGACCAGTCCGAATTGCCCTGAGGAAGGTGACAGACGGTCACCAAAACATCAGCTGAATAAATCTTCAGGTTGCATAAAAAAGTCTTTCTTCTTGCACAAAATGTCAGCAAAATGCTCTTAATGACAAGAATTCGTTCAAAGGAAAATAGATTGTCCAGCAATAAGGACACACAAATTAAGCATACAAAAGTGCAACCTACCTCGGCTAGGGTCCAACTCTTCCCCTTGTAGATCTGCATTGCTTGAGAGTAGGATCTCAGGGCATGTTTTCTCTGTAACAGGAAGATTTCAGAACAATGTATGTTGAGGAAATTATAAAATTGTACATTTTGATTTTTGGCAATATGGAAGCAGTAATAACAACATTTGTGTAAGGTGATTGCATTTCAGCACCAAGGACAGGGAAGGCAGAATACAGCAAAATGTTATTCAGCCCCAAGACAGGGATAGGACAAGACAATGTAGTCAAATCTTCTTCAGTACCAAGGACAGGGATAGCACAAGACAATGTAGTAGAATGTTATTCAGCACCAAGGGCAGGGATGGGACAAGACAATGTAGTAAAACTAGAACATTATTCAGTACCAAGGGCAGGGATAGCACAGGACGATGTAGTAGAAATAAAATGTTCTTCAGTAAGAAGGGCAGGAATAGCACAAGACAATGTAGTAGAATGTTATTCAGCACCAAGGACAGGGACAGAACAGTGTAGTAGAATGCCCGTACCTGTCCTGCCTTACTGAACCTGTGTCCTGCCAGGATCATGTGGAAGGCATATTTCCTGACCATGGGCATCTTCATGGAGGTGAAACAATGGGCAGCCTGCTCTAACAACAGGGCACTTCTCAAGTCAGAATCCTGCAGGAAACATTTTAGAAAGAATCATTAAAGTTGCAAAATATACTTTGTAGTAGCAAAATGCGTTCTTGATATTCAGTACAACATGTTAAAAGAATGCAGAAAAATTCAGACTACTCGTGTTGCAGAGATGCCCCCTACCTCACTGGTCATCTTGATGAACTGCATGGCAGCATCTCCAAACAGACTCATGCTTTTCAGGATCTCTGTGCTTAGCAGGGTGGTTCTGGTGGCAAACTGGGGATTTCTGGAGGTACATTTATAATGATAATCATCATTGAAGGATACAATATACCAATATAGAGATCTAAAATCAAAGTGAAATGTTGGTTTTGAAATTTGGCCATTTCTAAAACAATTTGAAAATGTAGGAAAGATAATTATGCAAATATGACTTGTTTTGCACTTACTTGCATGTCTGGTTATACATCTGTATGGCAGAGTCCATGTAGTGGGAGGGATACTGTCTCTGTGGGGATCCCTGCATGAACACTGATAGGGCTGCCATCTCCTGTAACAGTCAACATCATGTATGTAAGATGCAAGTATCACCCAGAATCAGAAATAAAAAACTACAAGTGTCACACCTACATATGGAAAATGATTATTTTAACTTTTGATATACATCTCTATCTCCAACTTTTATCAGTCATGTAGCCTATGGTAGTAGCTTTGTGATGATAACTGACCAGACTGCCGGCTGCATGCATCCAGGCATGGTCGTTGGTGTAATCCCTCTTGGCAGTGTGGTAGGAGGTGTAGGCCAGGTCGTACATCTGTACCAGGAAACACAGGTCACCCAGCTTACGCAGCTGCACCTCTGCTGAGGCCTCCGAGTAGCTGAACACACAGGGAAACTAGAATCAAGGCTCGAAATACTTTTTTCTGCATCATACTATAGTGCAGGTAACACTGAAAATTACCTGTACCAGACAAAGTTTACCTACACCACTGAGAATTTAGGAAGTGTGGATTAAAAAAAACTGTTCAGAAACTGTTACATTTGTAGCCATTACCATTATTTCTTTTACACCTCATAGGTGGTAACAATTAATACAACAAATAAAAACAACATACACCTATATGTCATGCAGGGTTACATGTATGTATATAAGCCTAGTGCAATGTCATGGACCAGTCCAGGTTAGGTGCAGGTAAACATCAGAAATACCTGCACAGCCCCAATATTTTACTTGCACTAGGTTGCATGTGCACCCAGTATTTCAAGCCCCGTAAATTAATAGTTTGAAGTATGCAATGTAAGACCACTAACTTCCAGCCTACTTATCCTTCATTTAGCTGTAAAATTTTACCACTGACCCAAGAACTACCGAACATTAAAATCTTTTAGTTTTACAAATGAGCACTTACATCCCTCCACCGTTGTTGCTCTGTACACCAGAGCCCTTCTCTGCCTGCTTGTTCCCACCAAACCACTTCTTGGTAGCGCTGAAGAATGACCTGTGCAGGCCCTTTCTGGACGCAAGCTATGGAAACAAAAAGTTTAAGTTTCAATCACAGATCTGTACTTTCCTTCATCCATACCTTGTTTGGTGTGACATTCACCGAAGAGTGTGGTTAAAATGTTGGAACAAAACCTTGCTGAGTTGAGAAAACCATACATAAAATAGATTACGCTACATGTAATCAGCACATTTCCATGATCCATGAGACAAAAAAAAGAATTACAAAGACTCTAAATATTTCTTGTAAGTATTTCATGTAGGTACTCTAAAACAGGCACTTACTTGTTCATTCAGTGTCCTGATAGTTCTCTCTATGTGTGGCAGCAGGCCTCGAACTGCAAACTCATGTGCAAATATCCTCAGTCTGTCATGGTCGCTCAGGGTCAGGTACAGTCCATGGGGGACGTTACCCTTCCGTCTGGCTGCCTCATTCAGCTGGTTCATGGTGTCCGTGCTGTAAACCACACAACAGCAGGGGATATGAGTAACCATGCTACATGAGGATGGCATTAGCAGAAGAACAGTGCCCTCTAGCAGATCCCCTCAGAAGTGCATCAAACTGATTTACTACTCAGCAGCACAGGAAAATTAAAGGCATCAAATGCAATTTCAGGGCAGCAAAACTGGATTTTTGTCAAAGTCAATTTTCTGATCATTCTTTTAATGTAGTAAGCTGGATCAATCCTATGCTAAAGCATATCTGTGAGGCAAAAGTGTGATGTCGCTGATAGCAAACATTTGCTAGTTTTATATCGTAGGCTGGTTCTACCACGGTAGCTATAAGTAATATATACTTATGGGCGGTACCCCTTTAAATTTTTTTTATGTCTTTGATCAAGGTATTTTTTCTCTCGCAATCTTTTTTTCATTCCATTACTATTTCTTCTCTCTAACAATTCTTACATTATAATACACCTCTCTTTGAAGAGACCCCCCATCAGCATTGTAAATTAGCTAGCTCTAGCACTATTACCCAACATCTGACCTGTTTGCATTGTAGGAGTCCTCTGTCTCCACCCTTGACCTGCTGAGGTCAGGCTCGTCATCACTCTGCTCCAGGGGATGGGAGATCACCTCAGCCTCAGGCTCCTTCTGATCCTCTTCTGAACTAGCTTCTGTGGGAATTTAGTAAAACAGGTATCTTATATATACATCAATTGCATAATATCTGGTAGTGCAACTGCCAACTGGTACTGGTGTCCAATTTTGGTAAGCCTTTCTTTACAATATTTTTTCCAGCAAAGGGCTATATAGCATCTCATAAATATCTCAAAACACTTTTTTTTGCATACCTGTACTGGTGAAAATTACCTATACCAGACATACTAAAAACTGTTCAGAAACCATTGTCATTATTTCTTTTATACTACATAGGTGGTACCGGTAAAAGTTAATGCAGCATATAAGATCCACAAACACATACATTTGTATATAAGCCCAGTACATGGCCATGGACCAGTGCAGGTTAGGTGCAGATAGACAACAGAAATACCTTCACAGGCCCCCATTTTACCTGCACTAAGGTGTATATACACCCAGTATTTTGAGCCCTGACTGTACATTACATGTCAGAAGTCCCACCTGCTGGTGGATCGTGCACAGAGTTTGTTTCTGGCGGAGGAGTGACGGTGACACCTTGGTCAGGTTCGGACTCTGCCACCTTGTCGGGAAAGGTGTCTGTGTTTTCTGTGGAGTGTCCACTCTGTCCACTGTCCGGGGAATCATGTTCCACATCCTGTGGGCAAAAATAAGGCATGAATAAGCCGCATGATGGAACTTGGAACTTTAGAGCCCGAATGTACTAGATCACATTCTGTACTTCACATTTGAAGGCCAAAGCTGTACTGTTAGCAGGGTTATGTACTGACAGGTTTTAGCTATTGCACCTCAGGCATGGTGGGTGCTTTGACTTTCAGTTTCAGTTTTCAGATTTCACTTTAAAGGTCCTAAAGCAATCCTCATGCAATAATTACGTTCCCGATACTTATAAGCCATGGTTGATCGGACATCACAGAAATTACAACATGTTTCTCTTTGAAATAACCTATTACAAGCAAACTGGGGCTGCTACTACAAATTTCTAACCTAAAAATGTATTGCATAGCACACAGAAACACATTCAACTCAATAGTAACTGCATGAAGTACAATGTAACTTTGAATGAAAGGGGGCTAGCCAATGTGAAATCACATGAATGTTTCTATTGGTTAAACTACATGATTTAAAGTCTACTTATCCAGAAATGTTTAAGAACTTGACCTGTACCTTTTTATTCAGGAACTGACTCCAGGGGTCCGGCAAGTTTCCTGTCATTGTCTCCGGACCACCGGCGCTGTTTTCCTTGGCGGAGGTTAGAGGTCGCGAGTTGACCTTGAGTAAGTGGCAGCCATTTTGGCCATAACTTGACTTCATGCCTTTGAAGATCTCTTCCGCTCTGTAACACATGTACCAAGTCTCACAATGTTATGTTGTCTGTTAGAACACTTAGCTGTGTGATCCAAGGTGACTCTAACTGTAGTCTAAGCCAAGTATTGGCACGTAACTGCTAAAAACAACTGTGTAAATACATCTAAAAAGCTGAAGCACATGTACATGTACCAAGTCTCACGTGCACAATGTTGTGTTGTCTGTTAGAACACTTAGCTGCAGCTGTGTGATCCAGAGTGACTCTAACTCTAGTCTAAGCCAAGTATTGGCACATAACTGCTAAAAACAACTTACTTTGCACATATTTTGGAACATGCTGAGAAACTGTTTGAGTGATCATGGTTGAACAAACTTGACTAACAGAATGATCTATCTCACAGATATGACTTCATTTTATAAGCAAAGAAATTGCTTATTAGTTTCAGATAACGCAGTCTCAAGCTGTGTAAATCCAATAAGTCATGTCCTGAACACAGCATGATAATAGCACAGATAATCCTCGGCTGTGTCAATTGGTATCTAAGATGCTTTACAGAAGAAAATGTAGAAACATTTGCTGTCAGGCGTGTTAATGGAGTAATAATAATCCATTCCCACTGTGGTTCATTCTGTGCTGTACTGGATTTTGCTCAATATCCCTTCAAAACTGTGTCTTAAAAATGCCACATACTATGCACAACATCCACATGAAACACAATCTTGCCTTCCAAAGCAATTACCACCACTCTTTTAAGTGTGGCCAACATTGCCAATAAATATCAAGGTGGTATGAAAAGAGATGCCAGAACTGATTTTTACACCTCTACTTCTGCAGGACCTCCTGACTTTCTAATGGATAAGAATGAGCAGTGGGATAAAAAGTGACAAAGTGCCTATAACGTTCACCACCGTGCTACAATGGCTGTAACTTATGATAGCCATGAAGGCCAACCTTTGCGGGGAAAATCCCATGAAATACGTCCTTACGGGCACGTCAGCAGTAACTGCAACTTTCAGGTTCTAAAGGGGTATCGTTACAGGTTTGCACTCAAGCATATCATGAATAATTACTCGCAGGAAGAAACAAAAGTAACAATGTTTTTAAGTGCTATCAGCACTCAAGGACTTAGTCAAGTTTAAAAGGGTTTTATTGGAATTGATGCAATGACGGATAAGGCACTTTACAAGATAAATTTGTATAGTCCAGAAACATTTTCCCGTTGCCATGGTTATTTTTCGTCTTAAATTTTAGGGACAAAAAATTTCAGACACAGGCATGGCTTGGCGTAAAACTTAAATTATGATACAGTGTATATGAACCTTGATCATACTTAAGCACAGACCTAAGCTGAGTTTTCCTCTTTCTTGAAAACAATCTCCTTCGGTATCTTAATTTGTATTCCAAACCCATCCCTCCATCCTCCATAATGGTATCAACTCAATCCCATTACATACAGTCATTACCAAGTGGAATTGAAGAATTATCCAATGATATAGTCAAGGTGACTATCAGGTCGCCATTCTTACCAATAAGGTAGATTAAGCCAGTTTCCTGGCTTCTTCCTAACTGTCAGCTAATTTGCAGGAATGAATAGGGCAGCTATATACTTCTGGATGGGTATATAGATCTAATAACAGAGGGCCTAGGCTTTTCATTTAGCCTGTTATTCAGTGTGATTTTCTTTTTTACCCTTCAACCCCAGGAGTATGAGCTACATTTGTAATTTGTGCAAAGGGATATGCATCGGATACTACAAATAGCGTTCAGAGATTTCCCCGCATAGACTATTAGCAACAGTTTTGGTTCATTTCTGGTGATAAAATTGGTTCCCCTTTTGTTAGGAATTCTACAGCATATCTCGTTGGCATAGCAAATAATGGCAATCTTGAGTTCAAACTTTTTCTGTACAGTGAAACTAGTATTATTATAGTATCAACTACAAACGTAGCTTGAGTTGAATGCAGGGCAAAGACTGGTGCTGTACAGTGGGTAAGTATATTCTTTAGTTGGAAATCATATTCATAATATGATGTTACCCGTACATGTATTTGCTTCTGCAAGTTACAATCAATTTGTCTTAATCTTATGTCTAAAACAGGATGATTAGTATTATCATGTGTGAGGACTTCAATTCTACTAAATTACTATAATGTGAACAAAAATGCCTGTCCCCAAAGTACAATGATTACATGCTAGAAGCTTTGCCGAATAGTTAGAACACTCAATGACAGTAATGAATAGAGAGCTTGTGTTTAAAACAACCCACCTGCTATCATCTCCCTCTGCTACATCATGGAGCAGTACGTAGTACTTGTATGTGTTGGGAGTGAACCACTTGGGGTACTTGGCCTGAGACGTGTGCTGTAGTTCATGCTGCTGCTGACTCAGTCTGGTGAACTCTGCCATAGGGTCCGTGTGCTTGGAGGACACCACACAAACACCTGGGGTCCCCGAGTTAAGGGTACTATATATATGCTTCTTGATTTCTGTGCACTATTCTACTTGCCAATTCTCTATGCTATATACCGTCTTTAAATCGTGTAGTATTTGTGGTGGTTTTGAGTTCATGGTTTTCCCAAGAAAATGAAAGGAAAGGAAAGTGATTTTGATCCAGCTTTAGCTCACTCAAGAGCTAATCTCCCACTGGTCATAACTTAGAAGGTAGATGCTATGTACAGTATTTACAGGTTCATTGTACCGGGGAAATTCCCCTACATGTAGCTCTTTTCCACAAGCACAATGAACATAGGACCACAGCCTAAGGACTGCAACACTGCAACCGAAGAGTGACAATGGCTGGGATTCGAACTCCAAACCTCTAAGTCCAGAGGCAGGGCCATTAACCACTGTCACTGAACTACGCATGCTACCCAGGGACCTCTTCTCTGTGAAATCATCACAACATGAACATTTCGTCTCCCCCTTACATCACCAAGAGCAAAAACACCATGCATGAACAATGTAGTGTGCAAACTTAAAATGAACTTAAAGCACTGACAGTATTGTTCATTTGTACTGTATATGTGAGCAGGGAAAGACATAATTCTCTTGTGTCAGTGTTACTAACTTGTGATTCCTCCGTAATCCTCATGGAGACCAGCTGAAACAAAACATGAACTGAAACACTGAAAAGACCGGCATATCTGCCTTTCCTGAGATACAGATATTACAGTGAAACTGGTAAATCAATATTGTCACAGTGCATCCATCAAGCTAAGCTCAAGGGCGAAACCTATTTGCAATACACTTGGACTTGAGAAGCAGTACTAATCCATTTCTGAGTCACAAAACTTGCCAGACAACCTGGCACCATCCAAGTGTTTGTCCATTTGTCTCAAGTTCTGAAGTCTAAGACCATTACACAGAAGGTTGGCCTTTAGGTAATGAACTGGAAAGTCGGATGCGTAGTCATGAAATCACGACAATGTCCCTAACAGGATCTACACATCTAACATGGCTGTAACCAATCCAGTCAGTATGTCATTATTGGGTACTTATGCAGAACATGGCATATAGGCAATAATAATGCTAGGACCAGCACTTTTTTTTTCAATAAATTGGAATTCTGTTCTAAGTTGTACTATGTCTATATCCAAAAAGAAATAACTTCATAGCTTCTTTCCTATATGGATTTCAGCCAACCATTTATAGAGTAAAAGCTGTTCTGTAGACAAAAGACAGTATAATTTGGGGTTATAAGACATTAGTGTTCCAATTCCTCTTCAGTGATTCTAACTTTTCTGGCCAGATCATAACTTTCAGTATAGGGCTCTTGTGGAAGCATAAGTTTTAACCATTACTTTAGAATACCCCTTCATCAGGTGATTATGCACTGTCCAATTCTGGTCTCCTAGTATGCTATCATCATTCTTAGAACAAGTACTCCAGAAAAGGATACAGGCTACCAGATGTCTCAGGTACTCGTGGTCAGACAATGGCAACACCTGGAGGAAAGTATCTCTGTAGGCTTCAAACCAGGGGGTGGAGCCTGGAGACAAAAGAGACATTGCAATGTAGCAATATGTTGACTACACAATGACATCTTACTGTTTTTTGTAAAGTTCTTTCTTTTTATTGATTTTCAAACTAACAAAAGAAAAACATGGCACAACATACAAAATAAGTGACGCACATACGTAACAACAAAACCAGGAGACAATAAAGACCATAGAAACAATTTTTAGTCATACAGGTTCATAGTGTGACCTTGACAATGACAGTTAACAATAGTCCTACCTCTATAGGATCATAACCTGATATCAACAGTTACTGGAAACTTAATAAATGATATCAACAATATCCTACTGTTGAGTTGCAGGTTATATTCTCCCACAGTGATGAAGTCTGCCCTGCTGCCCTCCACAGTCTGAGGCTGGGTGTTGGACACCGCGTCGTTCAGCATTTTCCTGGCCATGGCCGGCACAGGCTGCTGACTGCCCATCTCACTCATGATGATGCGCAGGTTATGGATGACATGGACCTGATTGGTCGGGTCTCGAACATGGGCTAGAAGGGAAGGATAGAAATCAATGAGTCAACAGAACTTCTAGGTTAAAATAAACTACAAAGGTAACATTTGCAAAGAATAAACATTATACTCTAATGTTTACAATTGCATATGGTACGCTCTGTTAATTCTTAACACATTCATACATTTGGTCAGACAGAAGTCTACATCCTCCTGCTATAAAATTGCAACATGATGTAACCCAACACTAGTTGGGTTACATCAACGACAGTCTTATGGTTCAGGTCATTGATCTATGACCTTATTGGTTTGGAGAAGAAGAAGAGGAAACAGAGCAAAAACAATGTGTTTTCCTGTGGTAAACATAGTTTTGATTCCTCTACTAGTATATGTAGCAGTCATACTGCCAGGTGCTCATATGTATTACAGTGAATGTCAGGTCCTGTCATCATTACATGATTAGTCGCAAGACCAATTGCAACATTAATGTAAGTTCTATTCTCATTTTTTATGATTGATGTGACACCAATCATAACAAGTACGGGGGATGAAATATCATTGGTCAGTGGGTGGAGGGTACTAGTAAATGAAACAAACATTTATGCCTTCAGAAGGTCAAACATTAATCAGAAAACAGTTTTTAGGTAAGGAAATACTTGAAAATAGTCAGGTATTAGTAAATGAAAGTATATATGCATCAATGTCATCACTGCCACACCCCATTATTACAGAATGTAAAATGAGAGTGTACATGATGCATGATGTTGAATGTATGTTTGTCAAAATAAATCATTGGAATACAGGAGACTTGTATTGATACACATTTTTTCTGTAATCAAATCATAATGACGCACAATAACACTATTCAGTGGTGAATCGTTTAGTGCATGATTTTTATGATTTTCATCTATTGCACATTACGTTGGCATTAATAAATTTTATCCCTCACCCCCCAAATAGAAAGTGCTTAAACGACATCAACAAACAATTGCAACCCAACGAAGGTAATAACTTCTCCGGGAGGAATCACATTGATATCAGGTCAAGGTCTGGAATGTCCATACTATTTTTCCAATCGATAAGAACTGACCTGACCTCAGCAGGGTGTGACACGATCATGTGAACTATCAGTAAGCTTGTCAATAAAAATGAGATGTTGAACTTTTTGATCCTGGAATTAAATGAGTGACATTCTGTTAAGACAAGGGTAGACATACCTTCCGTGGTTAGTTTGCAGAAAGGTCTGACCATTTCCACAAACGACAGGTTGTTCTTTTGGCAAACCTGTTCAGCATCCGGGCTACATTGCACCGCTACGGCCGGCCCGAAGGCGTTCTGTATGAACTCCCGAGCTGTCTGAGAACACTTAGCCATTGCCGGATGCTTCTGAACTTATCTTTCTGCGTTAAAATCTGTTCAGAGCGCTTCAAACATGCGATAATTCGCCACGAAGACAGGTCATTCTTGAAAATTGGGCCAATTTTGCACCGATGTCCGCCATGTTGGAAGAAGACTATTATGGGATGTTCACGCCCCGTCACAGAAAGAAACACGAAAAAGGCCATAAAAATGTCACAATGCACGGCAAAATTTGACGTTTTGTTTTTCAAAATATAATATATTTAAGTATTTTAGCAATAGATGCCCCAAAATACCAGCGAAAGTGTTCCGTCACGTTAACCTTTGACCCTCAGCTTCAGTAAAGCGCCCTCTGGTGACACCTGTCATACATGTAGACGTAGCGTTATTGTCATGATCATCTATCCTACATTTTCCATCTTCAATAACGGATAATCTCTTCGCTACACATTCTTCCTGTTTTTACATGAAAATTAATTTCATTGTGCCGGTCAAAATATCAAGCCGCGTTTCCTACGCAACGTAACAGATTTCGAGAGTCGTGTTCGGTTCTGATACTTTTGCGAACGTAAGGACTTCTCCAGGGGGATTGAAGATCATTCCGCATTGCGCGCACGTACACATCCCCGTGCCACCTGCGTCAAAAGTACCGATAATACCCCCATTGACGTGAGCTCTGGTAATTGAACTGTACGTCTAGGTGTTTTGCCGTCAGTAGTTTCCACTTGAACGAGATCTTCAAGAATCATATAGCTCAAGTATCCAATCATTGAGGGTGCGATAGTTATAATTAACGCCAAGTTCGAATTCAGATAGCACTCAGAAGAGAAGAATACCATAGCTTATTGCGAACATTCCCCTGTAATATATAATGCTAGTTTAAGTGTGCATTTTTACGTTATTTGCACTATAGTACTAGACTTAATTTTGTCGATGCTGTTACTTTAACTCGAAGTGTCTGTTAAATGTATCACTTCTGATTACTCCATCACTTCCTTGGATAAATACCCTGACACACGCGCGGAGGTTTTGTTACTAAAGTTTCTGCTAAGCTTTGGAAACACCCCTCACGACACCGGTACAAATGGTATGCCCCATCCAGCATTGGCCCAACTGCACACATTCGGGCGGTGCGATCCTTCATCGCTGACAGACTGAGCGCGCTGGTGTGGCTCCCGGCTCCACACACCGTAATCACCCACGCGCCCACATCCTCGCTACACAGCCGTATTGTACTGTAGCACTCACCGCAGCTTCGGCAAAACAAGTGCTGAACATAACGCTCTACCAAGGTAAGAAAACAGCTTTTTTTCAACAACCTTTCATGCTAATATCGAACGTGAACACCTTTCTCTGAACTGAGAATCTGGGTCAGGTAGAAGCTCTGTGTGTTTTATTACTAGTACTCACGGTCATTGCTCTACACAACGCTTCTCAGCTCACGTTGATTCAATGATTTATTTATAACAATATGGCATAAACATCGATCAGAAGTGAAAGTCTGACTTGTAGTATTTACCAAGAACGTGATGTTTAGATTATTGCGAACTGAATCACTGATATAATGATAAGTGAAAGCTGTAGAGACTAGAGGGACAATGTTAATTGAAATCTTTGTATAAAAACCGACTGCAATATACATATATTGCTACCTTGATGCCGTAGCCTCCAACTTGTGACTTCTATATTCATTGACACGTCTTGTACGTAGTGCCGTTCATCACACCTGTATGTAGTATCCCGGCAGCCGGGTATGTTCACGTTACACCCACACCTTTAAAACAACCAAAGGTGGGGGAAGTCCGAAATCGATAACAGAAAGCGCGCAGGTGGAACCAAGCGAGTAATGGTGAATGCCCGCGGCCACTACTGACATTTCACGTTAGAAATCTTCTAGATTATCGTTTGCATTTTGCATGCATTTTTCTTGCAAGCTTGCTAACGTTCACATCTTGTCGTCATCACGGTGTGCTGGCGTGCGCGCGCCTGCTTTCCCCGGGTCACTTCAAGAACTTCAGCTGATTCCTTCTCTTCCATTCCCTCTTTCATTATCTATTCTCTCTGCTTGTTCCATAATCGTTCATTTTTTTCCTTCTCCACACTTACTGCAACGCTGCTACCAAATATTACAGTAATTTCCTTGGCTGTAAGGCGCACACTCCTACACCGAGAACCGGGTTCTCCTACAACCCATGTTCTTGAATTCCCCATGACATTTCATGTCTCGTTAAGTTTTAATGGCGTCATTTCTCAACCACGGCAGCGCCCATTGATCCAGAGCAAAGGCAAGCACTGTTGCGTCTTGGAACCGTCGCTCTGAAGTAATTTCCAGATCTTCTTCTAAAGGTTAATAGTTTTTTCGTGCAAGACAGCGATGCGTTATGTTATTGCTACACTTCAACAGTCACCTCTGAATCATTACATTTTTACAAGTCCGTCCGAAGGTCTGCAACTCCTTTCCTGTTGAGTACTGTCTTTTGCTCATCCGCAATGCATTTCAAAATGTGAAAGGTAGAGACCTTAGAGCTTCCGTGTAGCTTTATGTTAAATAAGAGGCCGCCGGGTTGGCATAACATGATCTTTGAGTCTTTTATAAACAGCTTTTTATTACCTACTACCACTCATTTATTCTGTGTTGGTGATTAAGTTATAAGCAATGGTGGACAGGTGTATATGTAGCAAATGGTATGTCTTTTCTTTGCGACCTTCTTTAGGGATATTGGTAGGAAAGCATTTGCGCGTTTAATGCTTATCATCTGTTTCCCACAGGCCCGTGGACAAGTAGGTCATTTTTTTTCCTCTGGAAGGGCTGTGACCTATATTCCGCCAGAAAAAGCTATTACAGGGAATAAAACTGGACGAGTATCCTCTGCGGCTTCGAAAAAAAGACATACAACTGCCGTATAATGAAATACTGGCCACGCTCCATTTAATGCTACAGGTATGTCGACTACGCTACTGGTGAGATGACACCTGTTCTAAATAAGTTAAATAACGAGCCATAAAACAAAACGTGACGTTGTATCGAACGAAACGAACGACACCCAACAGACACTTGTCTTATGGGAACAGCGACTTGTGGGCCGATCGTTAACGTTGGTGGAGCGGTGTATTGTTTTTGTTGTATTCCATGTCCCTTTCCTTATATTCAAGTAAACAGACCAGTGGCTTGGCCTAGCTCATCTTCCCTTGATAAAAGTAAATAGATATAGATATACTAGTACTCAGATCAGTACATCGTTGTATCATTTCTACATTTGCTGTTACCATTGTCGTTTTTCACAGAAGACCGTAAGATATCTACATTTTGTCTCCTTCAGCATTCAAACGGTTAACGTGAAATAGAAAATGAAAATATTATTGGACTAGTTTTAAGCTTCCAGGTGAATTCGTCACTATGAGCGAACAGCCTGCCTCTGGCATCACCCCTTTGACTCATAATCTTGAAGATTAACTGCGAAGGGTCACTTTATGTCCTTGTAAACGCCCCACGTTTTCTTACGTCGTTCTGCACATGAAAGGAGAGGGCGTGGCGCTGAGGCAGTACTGTTGTTAGGCCATCTGGCGCGCCGTAGCAGAGTCCCAGGAACACTTATAAGCCCAAATAGTTGACAAAACTACCGAGATCACGTTGTGAAGATCTCACTAAAACAGGATTCCAACTACTCATCGATCATCATGTGGATACTCTAACACAGCACAGCGTGACGCACATCGGATTATTTTTCTGTAGCATTTCTCAAAAGTGCTATTCATTCCTGTGTCAGTAACTGAAGGCGATGTCAAAAGGAAGCCGCCTCTATTTTGATAGTGACCCCGGAGAGAGAGAGAGAGAGAGAGAGAAGAGTTATCCTTCGCCAGTTGCCATCTCAGGGGGAAACGCCTGATTGCAATAACTGTATTACACATGAAATAATATCAAAGCAGATATGAAGTGGTCGGGGCTATCTTATACACACTTTATTGCATGTGAGTCGACTCACACAATCTTTTTGGTGGTTCGCCTCCCACAAGATCTAGAAATCGTGTACAAACTAACGCCGAACGCTTCGCCTGCTTGGAAATTATGGAGGACTGATAACTCTGAGGTCATCCTGAGAAGAAGATTAACCAAGGAGTCTATAATTCCAAGGAATCTTTAAATTTCAAGAAGTGTAGAGGGTACGGACGAGCTCTGACGATCCTTTCCCTGCCTTGATGTACCCCTCGGACATTAAGCGTTGAAGAAATGTTTGTATGCCGCAAAGGCCATTTGTCTTAGGATGCATCAGACGTCAAAATATATTGATTTATCAATTTAACGCACCATCAAATTACTGTCTCTGCCTACACTAAACGACAAAAGCCGTGTAACCATTCCACATGTGCGGTCCGTGTGTGTGTGTGCGTGCGTGTATTGCTGCTTAATTAGAATTGCTGCTAAAATTCCAGGTATTTGATCAATTCAAAAGCAATGTACACACACATTACTCTTCCTGCAATTTGGAGTGAAGTGCCGTGCATGCCCATCTTCCCCGCTATCGCTTCACTATTACCCTTCGAATCACAGCGAACCGACAGCCACAAATCCTCTTACGGCGGACGGTGATTGAGTTCCTCCTCTGTCCTAAGCACACCTATTACATCGCTCAGTAATGACTTATCGTTGTTCCTTTGGGTGGATGTGATCACCGACCGCGGGGTACTATCAATTACCGGGACCTGATACATCTCCACATGAGGGCGGCACAACAGATTCTATATCGATACGTACGACCTCTTTTAAAAAGCGATCTGGGAACGGTTTGAAACAGCCTTACACTCCAACACGATCGCACCATGGCAACAACGATAAACCTGACCCCAGGCTCAATGTAAAAAGGCCCTCAGCAGAATTCAATTCACAGGCTAGATTTTCCCATTTGAGGTTCACCAAGCCGGGCTGATGGAGCCTTGATTGCGGCTTTACTGGCCCCTTGTGTTTCGACTACAGATGCTCTCCGCCTTATGTGTTGGCGAGGCTGCGTAGGTGTTATCTCGGGCCCGCAAAGCTGCATTTACCGTAGATTTTACTTACCCGGGTAGGCACTGCGGCGCTGTGGGCGTCAGCTGCGCACAAGATGGATGCGTAAATACGTGAGTACCACAAGTTGGTACATCGATAACTATGTGTTCTTTGTGGCGTTCTCTAGTGTTTTAAGCCTGGCATCACGACACGAACAGGCGGAAGACGCGGCCTTTTTTGGACGCATACATTTCTCCCTGCATATCCAGTGCAGTTTTTAGGGCTTGGAAACCC